TCGTGCCATAGGGCATTTAGTATTGTTTTGTAAATTATGTTTCGTTTGAATATATTCTGGGTCGAAAAGGGGCAGACATAAGATTTATTCTTCTTCTGCTACCTTTCATTTTATTTTGATTTGTATATTTTTGGTTTTGGTTTATTGTTATTATTGTACATAGTATTTTTTAATGAAATGAATAAATTTTTGAATTGAATTGAAATTGAATTAAAAACACAGAGATGAAAAGATTTTATCATTCAAAGGACAAATTATGTAAAAATATTCCTCTACAGAAAACTTTTTTATATGTTTATTAAACACCTTGTTATTTGATTTACTTTAGTAACGTGTTATGACTTTTAATGAATTAGTTCTTTTTAAATTTAAATGAGACTCAGTGGTAAACTTGAGCGCCCTCTGGTGGCCATTAAAGGCATGGCATAAACAAATACTTGCAATGATAATATTTGAATACTACTAATAAATGAGAGTGTAGGATGTTAAATAAAATGAATTCTGGTGGAAGTTGTTTATTTATGTCCTTGTTGTGTTTTTTCTGTCTCCAGGAGACGACCTGATGCGCTGCGTGGATCTCTACAACCAAACCCAGTCCAAGTGGTTTGAGGAGATGGTGACAACCAGCATGGTACCAAACCTGAAGCTCTAACCTGATATCTGAGGGCTGAACGTGATCCAAACAGCTGTGTTTACGTCAGATTTACTGTGTGAGCTGCTTCCTGCAGCTGATTGCTCCTCTCCCCCCTGCAGGAGCTGGAGAAGCTGGAGGTGGAGCGGGTCGAGTGGATCCAGCAGCACCTGCGTCAGTACACCACTCTGAGGCATGAAACAGACATGTTCAACCAGAGCGTGAGTTTGTGTCTGCACAACCTTTACCTGTTCACTTGTTTGAATGAATCAGCTGTGAGGAGTTGGAGGCCATGACTCCAGTCCTGCAGCAGAGACTAAAATGTTTCTGCTTGGTTTTTAACTTTGGAGCCAGTGGCGGATCTAGGATTTTTCAGTGTAAGGGGGCCATCGGGGGGCCACAATATTCACAGAGGGGCCAAGTATTTGTTCAACATGCTAGCACACAAATCCCCAGTTTTTGTAAGGTTTATACATCTAATCAGTCACACGTGTTCAAACACTTGTAAAAAGCTTGAACAGTAAATTCTCCTTATCGATTTTACATGATTTTTAACTGCATATAAATAAAATACTCTCAAACACACAGCATGTGAAAACAATCTAGCCATCGTTGTCAGTAAAAAAACTTTTTCTGCAGAATTGTTCAAACTGAAAAAGACCTGTAAGACTGACTACGTTCACACTGCAGGCAAATCCGACCCAAATCTGATTTTTTTGACCCATCTGACTCATATCCGATTTTTTTATGAC